TTTCTATATTTTAAAGCTTCCTTTAAAGATTCTTTTCACCTCTTAAAATAGTGTTGGTTTTTAAGTGGGTTAATACCAGTGTTTCAAAAGTGCTAGGTCGCTTCTGTTTATAGTTGTGAACAGAGATGGTATTCAGTAGATTCTGACCAGTTCTGGAGAACCAGTAGCGGAAATTTTGAGTAGTTCAGAGAAGCAGCAAATACTACCTCTGACTGGAGATTTTACAGTATCCTTCCCCTGCCACGCCCACCAAGCCACGCCCACAGAACCGGTAGTAAAAAAAAATTGAATAAAGATGGTTTATAATTATGAATATGCTAATATAATTTACAGAATTACAAATAAGCTAATACAAAGAGAAAACTAGTTTAAACTATTCTGTCATAGTAGTAGTAGTAGTACAAGTAGTAATATATGTATTAATACTCCTGTTTGCTCTTTCTTTGTTTTTCTGTAAATGATATGCCCTGACAATCAGTGGTGGGATTCAAAAACTTTTACACCAATTCTGTGGGCATGGCTTGCTTGGTGGGCATGGCTTGATGGTCATGTGACTGGGTGGGTGTGGCCAACTCAATGTCACTCACATCAAGGGATGCCTTGCCTGGCCCCTCCCTTCCCAGCCATTCTTTGTCACACCCAGCCTCAACATATCTATAGTTCTGTAAAAATGTTGTTCACCTTTTTTGACTTTATTAACTAAATACTATAGATGTCCTTTCATGGACCACTGAAAGCAGGAAATGGCTCACATGCTTTGCCCAAGACTGTGATAGTCAACAGGCTTTTAAGAGGCTGCCAGAAAGAAGGGGAGGCAATGTATTTTCCAAAGCACAGAAAGCAAAACATGAAGCAATGGATGGAAATTGAACAAGGAGAGAAGCAAACTAAGACTAAGGAGAAACTTCCTGACAGTGAGAACAATTAACCAGTGGAACTGCTTGTCTCCAGAAATTCTAGGTGATCAATCACTAGAAGTTTTTAAGAAAAGACTGGACAGCCATTTCTCTGAAATGGTATAGGGTTCCCCCGCAAGGTCCTTTCTAAGTTATTCTGTTATTCTGACACCTTTCCCAGGACCTCTACTCAGATTTTGGCATCCTCAAACTCTTAGCTATATAGCTGTGGAATAACAGAGTTGAAAGGGAATTTGGAGGTCTTCTAGTCCAACCCTTGCTCAGGCAGGAAAACTGAGGATGGCAAAATCTGAATAGAGGTCCTGGAAAAAGTGTCAGAATAACAGAATAACACTTAGAAGGGACCTTGGGGGGGAACCCTATACCATTTCAGTATTTCAACTGCAGGTTTCTAAAAATCTTATTTTAAAAAAATGAGATTAATATCCTAACAAGATTTTTAGAAACCTGCAGTTGCAAGTTCTTCACATCTCCTTACCCTGAAGACCCAATTTCATTTGGGATTTAATCCCAAATGGATTGCCCTTTTAGCATTTCTCTTGATACTTCTCCAAAATGTACTCCCAAGAAGCCACATCTCCATCTCTCTCTCTCTCAAGAGATTTAAAGGTGGAGAAACTACAGTATTACTGGATTAATAGTCTTTCCAATGATGTATACAAGAGTCTAAACAGAAAATAAAAGCAAGAGCCAGCAAATATTAACATATTACTCACAAATCCTTCCTGGAAAATCAGTATTGATTTAATGTTTCCCAAATGCAATCCTTTGTGAAGCAAAATGCTCTGGACTATAGACATTGAATGCATGTAAATCCCTGAAAAATATGTGGTAGCCCTGGGCAAAAGAAAGGCAGCAAAATCACTCTAGGTGTAGGGACAGTGTAATATAATAGCACATGATAAATAATGGAATAATTAAAAATAATAGCACACTTCCTATTTTGAGCTTCCCCAAAGACGGACCGCTGACCATGATCGTGCACGGCTTTGGTTCATGCTTCGGTGTCAGAGAGCCCAATCCTTTGGATACAGGGCAGAAGCTACCTCATAGGGGTGGCGGAGGAAGGGCAGACCATCAGCTGGGTAGAGGGGAGTCACAAATCCCCTCCCCGGCTTGACAATTGCTCCCTCCCGAAGACGTCTGAAGCGGTGGTCTAAAATGGCCACCCTGAAGGGGAAGATTAGACTGGAATAAAATTGTGCAGGAGAGAGAGAAAGAAGCGAACAGCAGGAAGAATGGGATGATATAATCAAATGGAAGATACCTCCAGGATTAACATTGCAAAGAATCTTTAAGAAAGGATCTAAGCAGTGAAGAGAAAGAGAAAAAAAAAAGGTGTGAATTGCTTTTGATAGCATCGGGGCTTCGAAACCGCAAAAGGTAGAAGCTGGAGAAGGAACTATATAATCAACTTGGATAAGTATACTTTGATTTTGTATTGGCACTAATAAAGCTGAACTATAGACTGTTAAAGAGGAAATTTAATATCAGCTGGATTTGATCTTTTTCTTGTTGGAAAATTGTGGTTTAAAAAGCTCTGAATAATAGAGAAGAAAAAAGAAAAGAGGGGGTGAAGACTTAGCAAAATAAAGAGCGCCATCTCAGTTAAACTCAACTTGTTTTTCTTTTTAAAAACTCTTGTTTCTTGAAATTGCATGGAAATTGATACAATAAAGCAAGAACTTTGAAAAATTGAAACATTGTAACAAAGAAAGAATTAGGAAGATTCTGCCTTTGGATTAGTTGCTGATTCTGACATGAATTTGGCACTAGATTAGTGGAGATTTAAAAACTAGAGAGGAGGAAAAGTTGACTGTTGGAAATAAACTTTAAAGATATTATTTGGATTAAATTGTGAATCAGAAAGTTGTAAAATGGCGATTTCTCTTATGGCATTAAAAATGGAACTCAGAAAAATGAAAGAAATGCTACAAGAACGAGGTGAATCGCTGGATTTTGCTTTAAAATTTATTGAAAATGCAACAGCAGAATATGAACAACAAAGACAAAAGGCAGAAGAGGAGGTGGAGCAAATCATAGAAGAGACCATCTTTAGTGATCGAGAACCAAGAACTCTTGAAAGAAAGAAGAAAAGAGTTGGAAATAAATACAGGAGATTTAAGAAATTAAATAAAAAGGGGAATATCTGAAAAATTAAAAAAGGGAAAAAGAGTCAGCAGAAATTCAAAGGGTGAAAGGAAGCTATAAATAGAGAGAGGGATAAAAACTGGAGTGAAAGAACAAAGCAGAAAAGACAAGGGGAAAGAAGGGACAGGAAACAGGATTTGGAAACAAAGAAATATGGGAATTGTAAAAAAAATGGGGAAATCCTTAATTGGACACAGAGATAATGGGTGATTATTATATAGAAAGAGGATTCTGCAAGGTACTGAGGGGAAATATAAATAAATTTATAGTTACGAAATAGGGACATATCGACTGACAAGATGGAAAAACAGAATTTTTATTTTTTGAATAATGGAATCTAATGCTCTTCCTCTTTATGTAGAAAGATAATTGTAATAAATAATGGAATAAGTATATTAGATATATTGAAATATTTTTAAGATTGGAATGTTGGCTTTTTTTGGTTTAAATATGAATGGAATAATTAATGGAATATGTGTATTAAATATATGGAAATAAATGAAATTATATAGGAGGAGAGCTGAAATGGAATTAACTTTATAGGAGGAGAGCTGAAATGGAATTAACTTTAGGGTTTAGAATTGTTTTACTGTTTGAATGAGTAGATTAATATGTCCTTTCTTGGGGGGGGGGGTGGAATTTAATGAAATTTAAAAGGAGAAAAATCATGCAGAATCTGCTATGTAGTTTTAAAGGGATTATTAAGTTTAATGTTTTAGGTAATAATAAATGTTTTAACGAGATTTAAAAGGGGTGAAAATAAATGAATTTATAACTTAGAGGTGACACACTTATATTGAGAAGAAGTGTCTTTTTTATTTAATTAGAATTTAAGATGAAATATACAAATGTGACAGTTAAAAGTACTAAAGTGTAATGATTATGAAAAATGCACAGAAGGCAGGAAGGCTAGCATCTATACTGGAAAATCAGAAACAGTCCATTTTTCTCTGAGCATTATTTAAGTGAATTAAATAATGAGATAAATATTTGGAATGATACAATAAAATAGAAAATGCATAAAAGCCCTGTTAAGATAAGGAATTGGATATAAAAATTGAATATGTAACCATGGTCATATTTGTATGTATATGTGAAACCTTTAATCATGCTGTTCACTAAAAAGAGACGTTAAAATATGGAAAACTGAAAAAAACCTGTTTTTTAAAAATAATAATAATAATAGCACTGAGGCTTTTTCTCTCTCTCTCTCTCCCTTCCTTCCACTTTCTTTTTCTTTTTCTTTTTCTTTTTCTTTCTCTTTCTTCTCTCTCTCTCTCTCTCTCTCTCTCTCTCTCTCTCTCTCTCTCTCACACACACACACACACACACACACACACACCACACTCTCTCTCTTACACACACACCTACCACTCTCTGGGGATGGGGGGGCTAGCATGACTTGCAGTCTTACCTGTGACCAGGCAGATCAGGATTGCTCAGTTGGGGCACAGGCACCACGTGGGGAGGTAGGTTAAAAAAGTAAGCCACAAGAACCCATTGTGCCGCCTAGGAGGTGATAAGTGGGTGGGGTGAACGAGCATTGGGCATTGGGTGGGGTGAACGAGCATTGGGCAGGTAGGGCAAGTGAGCGAGTGGCGACCAGGCGACCAGGTCGGGGGCATAGCCAGCCAGAAGTCACTACCGGTTCAGCAACCCATGCCAAAACATTGATACTGATTCTCCTGAACTGGTGCAAACCGGCTGAATACCACCACTGCTGACAATACACAGTACTCAAAATGTTTATGAATAAAAAAACATATACTAAAAAGAAAAACTCAAATGCACACAACATTGCTAGTACAATATGAGATTCAAGTTTCAAAGATACTATAAGATACCCTTCAGGATTAGAAGCTGCTTGTCTGTCACAGTAGTTTCCAATCCACCTTTCCTCCATCCAATCCATCTGTCAAAAACTAGAAAATATTAGAAAGTTGTTAGGTTTTTAAAGCCTTCATAAGTGAAAGGTGGAAAAGTGGGCAAACATGAAGCAACTTTTGCCAGACATGCAAGTTGGTTGGTCTCACAGGAAGTGGGATCCTGCAGGCTGTTGAAGTAAACACTATCTGGAGAATACATGGAAGGGTCATCATCAAAATAATTGTATGGTTTCAAGAAGAAACCAATCACATTCCCAACAGTTGCAGTATTGGGCACATCCTCAGCATGTGGAATATGTAGAAAGCCAGCATTGATCCAGGCAACCAGATCCTGTGAAAGAGAAATATTTTTTTAAAAAAATAATAATGTTAAATGCTGAGCTAACACAGGAAGGAAGAACTGACCAAATAAGACACAGTGATTGCTAATGGATGGATCAGAATGAACTGATAGATCAAATGCAATAAGGTAATAGCACAGTTTTCTTCTCAGAGGTAGGATGTAGTCATAATTTAACAAGCGGTTCTCTGCCCTAATGAATTCTTCCAACAACCAGTTTGCAAAACTGCTCAGAAAGTTAACAACCGGTTCTCCCGAAGGGGTGTGAACTGGCTGCATCCCACCACTGGATGTAGTGATCATTACAAATCCGAGAAGAGTCTTCCTTTTTTCGCCCATGGAAGGAATGATACTAAAAAGCAATTTTGTTTAAAGACAAATATGAATCCAGCTCATGATAACTTTAAAATAAATAAGCTCATAATAATCTTAGTATGGTTTCAAGCGCACAGAAGGCAGGAAGGCTAGCATCTATACTGGAAAATCAGAAACAGTCCATTTTTCTCTGAGTAAATTTCCCAAAGATCATTACTCTCTTCCTGTCAGGATTATTTCTGAGAATAGGGTGGGGTAAAGAAAAAATAGATTATTTTTACAAATTTATAGTGAGAAAAGTTTTCAGTACTCTTTGTATTCTTTTTCACTGAAAATGCCCTCTTTGCATTTGTGTTTAGAATATCAAGAAGCTGTTTTAAAATATGTTTTCTCATAATGCATTTCTTTGCCCAATCTCTCTTCAGAGGTAATCTAGCCTTTCTAATTAATTGCCTTTTAAAGCAGCAGCAAAACATTTCCCCCAAAAAAGATTAGAGTTCAAAAATTCAGCTGGGCTCTTCGGGGCTGTTTGTTTGTCATGATTGTATGCCTTCCCATCTCACTTATAATGACTATACTCTTTGTTGGGGGAATAGGAGGCATATTATTATTCTCCAGCATAATTATTCTCCAGCATAAAAAGAATTAATTACAGGGTGTCTTCATAAGCAAGGGGTAAATATAACTACATAACTTAAAAGAAGGCAATTTTAAAACTTATGAGCCGTCTCTTTTTCTAAACCAAACCATTGTATTATCTTTTTTTTTTTTAGAAAAAAATATTTTAAAAGCTATCTCTTGTTTATTTCTGGTAGTGACTAAATTATTTTTTCAGTGTTTATGGCTTATATATGATCTCTTCAAATGGCAGCATGGCACTGGCAATTTTTCTAAACTCATTGTTTTATTTATTTGCATTTTATTGTAAAAAGCTCTAAAAATGTTTGAGAGGTAGATCATAAAAAGGTAAAGTTTTACTTTTCCAATCATGTCCAACTCTAGGCACGATGTGCTCATCACTGTTTCTTGGCTGAGGGAGCCAGCATTGTCTGAAGATATTTTTCATGGCCAGGTGACCAGCATGGTTATATGCCAAAGGTGCATGGAATGCTTTCACCTTCCTACTGAAATGGTACCTATTAATGTACTCGCATTTCCATGCTTTCGAACTGCTAGGTGGACAGGAGCTGGGGCAAGGAACAGGAGCTCACTCCATTGCATAGCACTTTGGTCTCAAACATGGACTGTCAGCTTTCCAGCCGACAAGCTCAGCATTTTTAATTGCTGAGTCATCGTTAAATAAAAAGACCCATTGTAATGGTGTGTGGGAAGGCCTTGGGGGATAAGTCAAAGAGATGCTGCCTAGGGAATTGTCAAATAAGAGGCAGCACAGTCCGCAGATGGATAGTGAGCAGGGCAAGAGGCTCATGATGGACCTTCTCTTGTTTGGCATTGGAGGAAAGAGATGGGTAAGCTTCCCCTGCTTGTAAGCGATGCTGTTAGAAGAGGGGAATAGAGAGGCTTCGGTTGCAGCATTCGGTTGTAAGCTGGGCACAAGGGACACTTTCATTCCCAAAGCAGTATCTCTTTGCCTCATCTTCCAAGGTCATTCCCACATAGCATTACCACCATTAAATAGCATTTGCCCAACTCCTGAGTGGCTTTTGGTTCTTTTTCCAGCCTGACCTCTGCTCCTTCAGATAGGTTCCATTTTTAATTGCTCTGCCCTCTGACAGTGAAAAACCTATAAGACTGAAGAGTGGAAAAACACAGTTTTCCTTGCTATGTTAGATCCTCACCTCATTGACAATGGTCTCATTGTTTAAGAACTCAGAAAAGTCAACAGGGGGATCCCACGGATCTATTTGGCTGTAGATGCTGTTACTAGTTGGCTCCTCCTCCTTTCGCTTTGTGACAGCTAACTTGTACCTGAAAAGTAAAGCAACAGTGACATTGTGAGAAATTGGACTTATCATTTCTTTTCTTTTAAAAGTGCATGGGTTACTCTTTCACATCTGGCCATGGAAAGCGGCATGGAAAGAGAGGATAAAATTCTTCTGAGAGAAATTTGAAGCCTCAAACTGAAGGAATACAGTACAGATAAGCCTTGACTTAGAACCATTTGTTTATAGTGACTTTTTGTAGTTATGCCACCACTGAAAAAAAAGTGACTTATGACTGGTTTTCATACTTAATGACCATTATAGCATCCCCCGTGATCAAAATTCAAATGTTTGGCAACTGGCATGAATTTGTGACAGTTGCAATGTCCCAGAGTCATGTGATCATCATTTGTAACCTTCCCAGCTGGCTTCCAACAAGCAAAGTCAATGGGAGAAGCCAAATTTGCTTAATGAGCAAATGATTTACTTAACAATTGTGACAAGAAAGGTCTTAAATGGGGTGAAACTCATTTAACAACTGTCTTGCCTAGCAACTGAATGTTTCACTTAGCAACAGAAATTTTGGACTCAGTTGTGTTCATAAGTACCTGTAGTACTTAACTATTGGTCCGTGAATTTCCAGACCCTCACAGTCATCTGATTGCAATCTGGAGTTACCAGCCCACATTTGCAACAGTTGTAGCATCCCGCAGTCAAATGATCACCATTTGCAAGCTTTTCTGCCAGCTTCCTCCAAGCAGAGTCAATTGGGAAGCTGATAGAGAAGATCATGAGTCACTGTGGTAAGTCTCCCCCACCAGGTAGCAACCTTCCCAGTACCATTTTGCTTATACTGAATCAGTCACCTGCACATATTTGTGACCTTTCTACACCTGGAAGCAGCCACTTACCTACCTACCAGCCAGCTTATAAGTCATCTGAATCTTACTGACTATCTGGGACTTGAGATTTCTTGCTGGCTTTTGGTTGCTGGCAGCCAGCAGGAAATTGCCAGGAGGTGCTTGCTTAATAGCCTGCTCTTTGTTTGACAGTGGCAAGAGGGACTGTTAGGATTGCCATTGCTAAACAATGCAATAACATGCCGGTTTTGCATGGCTTCGGCGGCGGCAGGAATTCGCGACTCTCCACGATTCCTGCTGCGCTCGCCGCCAAGGTGCCCCCAATCCAAATGGGTCTGGGGGATATGGCTGCCCTGTAGAGGCAGCCGAAGAGAGAGGGGATCCGGACAGGGGTTTGGGGGTGTCGCAGACCCCCTCCTCAGCCGGAAAAACCCCTTTTTCCCAAGGTGGTGGAGCGGCGGTCAGTAATGGCCGCCACAAAGAAGCCTGCAGCCGGGTAAGATTTGTGCTGGAGGAAGCAGGAGAAAGTGAAAGTGCTGGCTGAACCGTGACAATAAGATCTTAAATACCCTGGAAACTGAATTGCTTGAATTGCTTGAAGGATACATTGTTTCCCAAAGAAGATTGGAAAGCAGCGAAGAAAGCTGTCAAGGGAAAGTTTTTTTTTCTTCACTCTCCCTTCCCATAGAAATAGCAGACGGAGATCTGGAAAATCTACTTGGGCACCGAAGGTAATTCAATTTGAAATTTAAAGCCAAGGGATAAAGGATTTCTGGACATTGGATTTAAAAAATGAGATGAAAAAGCGATATGATGTCAGAAAGCAACAGAAAAGAGAAATACAACAGAGAGGGAAGACTAAGAGAGTGAAATTTGAGAGATGGGGGGGGGTCAAAAAGCTAGAATGGATAAGAAAGGAAGGGGAAAAGGAAAGAGAAGTCATAAAGGCTTTAAACAAGATGCTAAAAAACGATTTTTTTTTTCAGAGATAAGGGGTAAGATAATTTTATAAAAATGATTCTGCAAAAGTACATAAGAATGTATTGTAGACATTAGTATTTGAAGCTGAGTTAGAAAATTAAAATATTATATGAGTTAAAAATGTATTAAAGGGAAGCCATAATTTAATTATAGAGTTTAATTTCTTATGAAATATTGTTTTTATTGTTTAAGAATTAATAATAGAATCTAATTTCCTATGAAACATTGTTCTTATTATATTATAAATTTAATATTCCTTTTTCATTTTTTTTAGTTTTGTTATTATTTATTAAATCCAATATTATTTGTTTGTTTTATTATTTTGAAATGTAATACTTAGAATGTACGGAGCAGAATCAGTACGGAAAATATGTATTATTTTAAGTGTTATTTAGGGGAAAGATAAAAAGTTGTCATACTTTAATCAGTGTTTACAGGAGAAATATTGTATTAGATAGAAAGGTTAAATAGGTGATCAAAAGAAAACGGACCAAAGATGCAAATATAATTATTTAAATCGAGATGGAATAAATAAAATAGAATTAAAAGAATGAGTAGGAGAGAGAAAATATATGGAAAATAGAGAATGTTAAATAAGATATGAGATAGTATATTAAGAGAGTATAAACTTTGACTGATGTCTGTATAAAAAGAGTTAACCCGGGGTAAGCCGCTTTCCAAAAAGAAGTTTTATGTATCTATGTTTTGTGTAATGTTTGTTTAAGTTTGATAGGATGTGGAAGAGCACTAATGAAATTATATTCAATGAGTATATAACTTCAAGGCAGAAGAAATATGATTAAATAGAAGGAAAGGGAGTAATAAAGAGAAGTTTGGAAAAGATATGAAGTTGATTAGATAAGATAAATATATATATTAAATTATAGAAATGTGATAATTTGGAATTATCTTCTTTTTAAATAAGATGGTTTATTTGTTTCTTTTAGAAAAGATATTTTATGTTACTACATCCTATGTTCTGTTTGTTTGTGTATTGTATTAAAAAAAAAAACTAATAAAGTTTGTCCAAAAAAAACAACAACAACAATGCAATAACATGACATCACACTTTACAATCTCATCGCTTAGCGATGGGAATGCTGGTCTCAATCACCATTGTCAAGTGAGGTCAATCTATATTTCTTTACATGTTCCATAGCTACATTTCTTGGAGAAGAGTAAGTCATTACCCAAACATTCTTAGCACTACCAAGAGTTCAGCAGAACCCAGAAGAGCTCAGAAGACACTTTATACTATTACAGGTGAATAGTAATCAGCCTAAGAAATTTTGACTGGTAGAAATTGATGACATACCTGCCCCAACTGAAGCCTGGTTCCACTGGATCAGATTCTGATAGATGGTCTCCAGAAAAGCTGACTATCTGTATCCGGTAGCCTTTTTCATGGTCCCACTTATTGTTGCTGTCATTGGCAGCAAAATAGATGTAGTTGGGCATGGCATCACGGAGGCGGAATGCAGCTTGGTCCTCAGTTTTGAAAACTTTCCTCACCTTCTTCACTCGATCTATCTTATGTTCAGGGCTCCAAGGGGCCTGCAGTGTCTCAAAGGCCATGTCATTGCCAACTAGCATATTGCCCACACCTTAGAAGGAAAGCAAATACATTCATTCGTTTTTGGTTAGCAATATAGATCAGATTGCTGCTGCTGCATTTGTCTGCAGTGTGACACAGAAATGGAGCTATGATTGATATATATATATATATATATATATATATATATATATATATATATATA